TAGATCTATGTAAAGAAAATGGTTTTGAGCTCACACCATACTTTACAACAATAAACGAGGCTGTTTCAACTAGATCCAAAGTCGCTAGACTTAATAGCTGGGATCTTAGAACCAAACTACATCGAAGCCTATCGAATTGTAGTTAACTATTACACATCCTCTCATCCGTTACAACAACGATTAAAGGCAAAGATTGAAAATCTACCAGAAATCCGAAACTGGTACGATACCGACAAAATGCGAAGCAATCTTGCCATAATCAAAGATGCATACACTGTTCTAGCACAAAGTTCGAACAATAGATCTTTTCTAGAAACAGATTTTTATTACATAATAGCATCAAAATTTCCGAGGGATGCTGTAAGGGATCTAATGCAGAAGTATGGATCCAAGCTAACCGTGTCACAATATATAACCAACATTAACATGTACATTGAACAGAATGAAGAACAACAGATTATTTTGTCAAAGTCTAATTTTTTTCAATCAAAAAGTCAAAATACTAAACCGCGTCCGAGACAAAATAATCTGCAAAATCCTTTCTATAGTAATTTCTCTCCAAGAAATTACCATCGGACAAATTTCAACTCTAGGAACTTCGCACCTAGACATAGACAACCACAACCAACGATCACATTTCCAAATGAACAACAACATCTAAACGCAATATTAAATACACCATCAACATCAAGAGCAACCAATGCCTTGGTGCCATATCAACAACAACAACAAAAACAAAATTATAAACCAAATAGTGAATGTGTCTTTTGTAAACAAAAACACATTCCAACATCCTGTCCTAAACCAATAAAAGAAAAACTTAAAATCTTGAATGCCCAAAAAAGATGTATAAGATGTTTCTCCTCTTTTCACATGATTAATGAATGTCCATTGGGGTTTCTTTGCCGATTATGTCACGGTAAACATAATACTTCTTTATGTGAAAACCGAGACAAATATCCACCAACAAATGTTAATACAATCCTTTCTGGTGGAAACAGTCTTACAATGATTAAGATTGAAATGAATAATATAGAAAGCTTTGGTTTATATGACCCAGGTGCATCACACTCATTTATTGATTTAGATCTATGTAAAGAAAATGGTTTTGAGCTCACACCATACTTTACAACAATAAATGAGGCTGTTTCAACAACCCAAGTTGTAGCAAAAGTGATGATTAACCTAAAGATTGGAAGAATAACAAAAAATCAGGAATTCTTTGTCATACCAAACTTCAACAAAATCATTATTGGTATTGATACTTTAGATAAATTCCGAATTGTACGTTTCATTCATGGAAAGGTATTTCAAATCTTAAATAAAAACAAAATCAAAATTAAGACATACAAAAGCAAAGATGGTAAAACCCAATGCCAACTAAATAACCTTCAGGAAAGCGAAGATGTAGATAAGATTGAAGAATTTAAGAAAGAATTTTCAGATGTTTTCACTGAAACTGGCGAAGTGGGAAGAATTGATAGTTACTGTGAAATCAATCTAAAACACAGTGTACCAATCAATCTCAGACCATATCGCACGTCTCCATCAGACCAAGAATTGATTGATAAACAAATTGAACAATTACTTGAGAAAGATCTTATCCAAACTTCTACATCTAACTATTCTTTCCCTGTCGTATTAGTTGATAAAAAGGATGATGGAAAGAAGTCTAGATTGTGTGTAGATTATCGAAAATTGAATGAAATCACAATTACAGAATCATATCCTATGCCTAATATTCAGGATATCGAAAGTAAATTATTGGATGCCAAATATTTCACTACCTTAGATATATCATCTGGCTTCCACCATATCCCAATAAAACCTTGTGATCGGCACAAGACCGCTTTTTCTACAATGAATGAACACTACGAATGGAAAGTAATGCCATTCGGTCTGAAAAATGCTCCGGCCATTTTTCAAAGAACAGTTTATGCTATATTAAAACAAAAAGAATTAAATAAATTTTCTCATAATTACATTGATGACATTATAGTGTTCTCAAAAACATTCGATGAACACATTGAGCATCTAAAGAGAGTCTTTCAAGCCATGAAAGAATCTAATATTAGATTAAAAACATCAAAATGTAAATTTGCCAAACTAGAAGTCGATTATCTAGGCCATAACATTAGCCATAATTCAATAAGACCTTTGAATAGCAATCGGCAGGCAATCATAGATTTTCCACCACCAACAAATCTAAAAACATTGAGAAGATTTCTAGGAAAAATCAATTTCTATCAAAGATTTATTCCTAATAGAACTGAACTTTTGTCACCTATGTATAAACTGTTGAAAAAGGATGAAAAATTTGATTGGACAGAAGAAAATGAAAGGTCATTCAAGAAAATAACAAACATCTTGGCTTCAGATTTAGTTTTACATATTTTTGATTACACCAAAACAACAATTCTAATTACAGACGCATCTAATATTGGAATTGGCGCTGTTCTGAAACAGAAAAGTACAGAAATAGATGATGATGATACAATGGTAACTGTAGGATATTTCTCTAGGAAACTTCTTCCTTATCAAATGAATTATTCTGCTACAGAAAAAGAATGCTTAGCTATCATCGAAGCAATTAAATATTGGCATCACTATTTGTATGGAAATTCTTTTATTATAAGGACTGACCATCGTCCATTAAAATATATTCAAAACCATTCTAATCCAAACACCCGAATTATGAATTGGGCTTTGAAACTGAGCCAATACAATTTCAAAGTAGAATATATCCCAGGCAAGGAGAACGTTGAAGCGGATTTCCTTTCTAGGAATCCAGATTTTGAGGTTAACTATCTCACACTTCAAGAAATTGAACAAGACCAGCAGAGTTTTGAATCTCCTCCGCCTAACAGTACAACATTTAACGGATTGTATGTAAGATACATTAATAATAAAAGAAAATACATGCTATCAGAAACTATGGCAAAAGAACTTATAAAAAGATACCATGTAGATAAGGGCCACATTGGTCAAACACAAACTGCAATGCATTTCTCTCAATTATATTATCATAAAGATCAAAATTTTATGATCAGAGATTGTATTAACAATTGCGAAGTATGCTTAAAAGCAAAAACACCAAGAAAGAAATATGGAGAATTGCTCAGATTGCAACCAATAGATGAACCATTTCAATATGTTCATATTGACACTATCGGTGGTTTCAATGACCAACACTCCCAACTACGTTATCTTCACGTAGCAATTGATGCCTTTTCCAGATTCATGTGGTGCATACCATCCAAAACACAAGGAGTAGAAGACTTCATTAAATTGGTTGAAAAGGTAAAAGAGATGGGACAACCAGCAAATATTGTATGTGACAGATATCCTGCTTTAACATCAAACAGGTTTAGACAATATTTAGAATCCCAACAAATAGAATTGATACACATTCCGGTCACACATCCTTCCAGTAATGGAATGGTTGAAAGACTCGTTCAAACCATTGTTGAAAGGTTAAGATGCAAAAAGCTAGAATTTCCTTTAACATCTTGGGCTGTCTTAGCAAGACAAGTAAACAATGAGTACAACAACACAATTCACACTGTTACTCAATCTACCCCACAATTTTTACTAACTGGACAAGATCCAGACCAAATATTCACAGACACTACACAACAACAGGCTAGAGAAAGTGCATATCAAAATTCAACTAATGATCATTTAAGAAATAAACGCACATATGATAGACACCGAAGAAGAATAACTTTCTTCGAAGGTAATTGGGTTTATGCAAGAATCGCTGACCCGTTGAATAGAAGAAAACTGGACCCTAGATATGAGGGACCATTCCGAATTATAGAAACACTATCCCCCACAATATACAAAATATTAATTGACGATCATCCTGTCCTCATACACGTAGAAAACCTGAAACCAGCTAACTCTGAAACAGGAGTTATAGGTCATTTCTATGACTCAGAAAGTGAAAATGACCAGGATCTCCTGGATTAACAAGAAATAATAAAAAGATGAATAGGACTTATCAAAAGAAGATCCTGAAAATTACAAAAAAAAAAAAAAAA